CAAACACTAGCTGTACAATGCTTTTATAATCTCTCAAAGAAAAGTATAATTTCTTTTTTGAAAAACATAATTTCTCACATATTTCTATGAGAAAGCACAGAATATGAAATAAAGATGATTGATTTTATGTTGATAGAGTCAGCATAATAGGGAACAGTTCTGGATTTTTTGAAACATTTTATATCCAGATTTTATAAAATATTAATGTGCGATAGACTGTGAGAGACTGGACCTTCTGGACTGAAACCAGTAGGTCACAATAGATAATCTTGATAGTGAATCAGAGGCTGCAAGTCATGTTTAATAAAACACTTAATATTAACATTTGATAACGAAAATCACAATACATGTGTATATAAGCTATCCTAAAATGCTCAAGATTGAGATTTAATACCCTTGGTTTAAGCAGTAATGAAAAAAAAATTAAAACTAATAGAATGATTAATCTTTCCAAACATCTGTTAAACCCAGTTTGTTTCGAAGATAGTGTTCACGCAAAGCTTGCTTTTGTCATAAAATATAGGATTAGGCAACAATTGAAATATATTGCAATGTAATTTTGAAATGAAAAGATAATATTGTAACATTTTTCATCTTAATAGGGTGGACTTTTTTTAAGCACTGAGTTATGAAACAACTTTACAGAAATTCCATTATAATCAAATAAAAATTATCCTTATTATGTTTGCGTGGTGGGAACTAATGTTCACTTTTCATGTATTCAATATTAAATGTATACAGTGTATATTTCATATATTGTGATGATATATTACAATATTACGAAATATTGCAATAAATATTGCAACATAACTGCTGTAAGAGAATTTATTTTGCAATATTACCCTTCCCCTGCTAAATTGCAAAATAAAATGGTTTATCTTGATAAATCTGACAAATTTTGTCTACAAAGATGAGAATTGCTTTTGTCATACTTCTTTAACCACATGCAATTGCAATTAGCAGAGAGAAATTTAAAACTAATCAGAAAATTTCATTTGAAAATAAATTAAGCCATGCTATTATGTTCCAAACATCTAGTGTGCTTTCATAAAAAAGGAAACTTAGGTGATGTACTTAATTGTTTATACTTTGATTATCTACGCGTTGATGTACCTTGAGGTGGTTTCAGTTAAGTACAACAGTTCAAATAGCTAACACCGTCAGTGAATTCCGTCACCCACGTGCGAAGGGAAATAATCCCTACAACAGATCTGCGGTCGGGTGTTCGTATTGCCCTCAAAATGTCATGCCAAGTCATAGAAGATTATTTACGCATTCAGCCCACATTAGCATGTGTCTACGATTCTGTGTGTAAAATCCTTATTCTCTGACTGCATGTCCTGGGCTTAGAAGACAGGCGACCTCTTGGCATTGTGAATTTGTCTGCCAATATTGCTAGACATCTACAATAAAACAAAGGTCTCAATTCAATACGAACTGTTGGATTATTAGCTTTCTATATTGATAGCACTTACCGTTATTTGAAGATCCCCGTGAGTTTTCCCGATATTTCTGCAGTCCAACTGCAACGATTCCCGCCAAAAAATTCAGCAAAGCCAAATAACTGGATGCTAATTACCTCCCTTGATCTAAGATATTTTCGTAATTTTCTCTCGCGGGCGACAGTTTGAAAACGCTGTTTTGTTATATTTTTCCTTTCCTTTAAATTCCATACATGGAAATGACTGTAATACTACTATAGATGTTGAAAACTAAACAACCATAACATTTTAAAACTTGAAATAGTGATTTTTGCATATATACATGTATTACTGTGACCATGCAGAGACGTATATATTACATTAATAATAACATTAATGATATATATACGTCTCTGGTAACAGCATGTACGAAAAATTACGTTGTTCAGTAATAGAGTTCCGTTATGTTTTAACTAACTTAATCGTGTGAATCTGTGAACTCAGAGACGTATGTATTACATACGTCTCTGGTGAACAGCAATTTTTATTAAAAAAAACCCAACAAAATTCTCATCTTTTTATTTTTAACTGTACGATGAAAAGTGCCAAAAATATATAATGTGTGGGAAAAAATATAATGTAGGTGGCTAACGTCACAGCAGAGACGGGATATATATACGTCTCTGCTGTAGCGTTCCCTTACATTCATCTTGGACATGATAGGTGTAGCACGTCCAGGGCTTCAGCATTGACCTGGTATGACCTGATAGTTTAGTTGAGATAGTCCCGCCTGTGTCTGTGGATCTCCATGTGAAAACGCCTATCATTTCTTTTTTGAATGTCCAGTTTATACACACCAGAGGTTTGAATTGTTTCAAAATCTAAATTTTGTTAATGAAATCTCCTTAGATATATTGTTATCTGATATTCCGGATCTGTCTTCTCAACAAAATAATGATATTTTTCGTAACGTGCAAAAATTCATAAAGACCAGCGGTAGGTTTTAATTATTTTTATATTTATATTTCTATACTCAATTTGTGAGACTGTTTAATGTTTTTCTTTCTCTTTTTGTTTCTGTTGTTGTAATGCTACTGTTTGTAAATCTGATGTATATATTTGAGGAAAGGGCGTAAATAATGTTGTAATAACTTGTGCCCAATCCTGTTGTCACTATTTTGGCAATAAAATATGTTTAAACAAAACAGTTTAGTTGTTTAGAGTGAAAGTGAAGTGATTGGAAATAATTAGAGAAGGTGCAAGTCCTGGCTTGGCAATGCTGTACTTTTACATTCAGAAGACTTTAATAATTTTTCTTTCAAAAGTTCCGCAGGTTTTGTCAGAGGTCTGGAAGTCTTTGGCATGTTAAACCTCGGTAGTCTGTTTATCGCATAAAGTTGGAAAGCATTAGTTCTTCTTTTTTGGCCTACAACCATTGCATTGGATTTGTAACAACTAGGATTAACGAGGCATGATCGCCTTACTGGTCAAAGGGAAGCAACCGCTACTCAGATTGAGCCGACGGCGCGTTTCGGGTGGTAGCATCACGAATTAGATTGCTATCCGTGGTAGCATGCAAGATGTAACACAACACCACTTGAAACAAACAATTCTAAATGTGGTTTTCTATTACAATAATGAATTTATGATTATAAAACATGTTTAATTTTAATATTATTAGTTTTAGTTCAGCAACTGACAAAGTCGAGTAGGTCCAAAGTACAACATGTTTTAACCAGAGACGTATAATACTACTGTATTATACGTCTCTGTTTTAACTAATCGTCCTGTAGTGCGTACACCGGAAAACACTGAGGAATGACTATCGATGTTATTATATCAATGCTGAGATATTTCTTTCAAAATCTAGTCACGAGGCATAACTTTTGCACTCATTGGTTTATTTATAAAAGCTACATAATATATTTGCAAGAGGAGACAGAGAGAAAAGAATGTCTTCATGTTCTAGTCGAAGGTATAGAGGGAGGGAGAGTTCTCATTTTGTTGAATAAGCATGTCAATAGTATCTTTTCAATATTTTGTAACATTACTAAAATCAGAAACCCTGAACTCACACAGGTAAGACATTTATTGTGTGCATATAACTATGTATTTGTAACCTTCTTTGACTTAACCACGGAATTAGTTCGTGACTTAACCAACTTTCTGAAATATTCCTTTTTACAAGAACTTTGATCAGGTGTAGATTAGCACACCTAATTTTATGTCGGACAAGTGTTCCGCAAAGCGGTACATGATACGCCCGTCAGATGTCGAATGAGCAGTTTGCCACAAAGGGGCCATAAGTGCATAAATTTTGGCGAGATAAGCGTCAAATTCTACAAAGGGCCATCACTGCATAAATAACCGGCAAATAATTTTGGTTATCGAACCTGTCCGAGCTTTCATGGCGATGAACCTTTCTACCAAGTTTGAAATTAATACATTCAAAATTACTCAAGTTATTGACCGAAAACTGTTTTGGCAATTCTACAAAGGGCCATAATTCCGTAAATAACCGGCAAATAATTTTGGTTATCGCAAGCTTTGATAGAAATGAACATTCCTATGAAGTTTGAAATGAATCTTTTCAAAATTATTGAAGCTATTGAGTGGAAAATGTTACGGCAATTCTATAAAGGGCCATAACTCCCTTGATAACAGGCGGATTATGGTCAAGCTTTCATAGAAATGAACCTTCCTATGAAGTTTGAAATGAATCTTTTCAAAATTACTGAAGTTATTGAGTGGAAACTGTTTCGGCAATTCTACAAAGGGCCATTACTCTGTAAATAACTGGCAAATAATTTTGGCTATCAAACTTGTCCGAGCTTTCATGCCAATGAACCTTCCTACCAAATGAATCCATTCAAAATTACTCAAGTGATTGAGCGGAAACTAATGTGTGCCCGCCCGTCCACGTGAAAACATAATACGTCCCGTCATTCGACGGGCGTATAAAAAGGAAAACCATCATATCTTCGTAAATATTTTCTCATAAATTGTCAGAATTCAAACCCAAGTTAGAAAGACAAAATCTGGTAGCATTGCTGTAATACGACATTAAACGAAACGAAGACAGCATTTGACTTTTAACCTTCACTCAATGATTTAAGCAACATGTAATACATAAGAAAACAAACAAAAATGGTGAAATTCACAACTAAATTTTAATGATATGTACAAGCAAAATAACTTAATAATAATTAATTTTGTAAGCAAAGCTTATCCAGTCAACAAATATGTTATACAGTGTATATTTATAATAATTTAATATAGTATAAAACAATGTATATGTAAAGTGTGTATGAAATATAATGTAATAGTGTATATGTAATACATATATTATATAATGTAATACACTGTATATATTGTATAATGTAAAACAGTGTATGTTATATAATGTTATACATTGTATGTTATATAATGTAATACAATGTATATGAATATAATATAATAGTGTGTATGTTATATAATGTAATACAATGTATATGTTATATAATATAATAGTGTATATGTTAAATATTATAATAGTGTGTATGTTATATAATGGAATACAATGTATATGTTATATAATATAATAGTGTATATGTTAAATAATTTAATAGTGTAAATGTTATATAATGGAATACAATACAATTTGGTCCTCAATTGTGGATCAGACATACTGGTACAAGACAAGTTTTTTAGCATCATTTTGTTATACTTAACAATTGCATTGATGCATATAATATATCAAATTGAAAATAAATATTAATTTTTAAATGAACAGACTGACAGGAAAAGAAATATGAAAAATAATATATTATAAAGCAATATAAAACATTAAATAAAATACCTGCTGTGCATTATACATATACTTGTACTAGAGTTGTTACACTAACCTCAGATCAACATGTACAATTTATAAAATTTGGAAATAAAACAATTATTTGCTTCTTACAAGTTTTACCCGTGTGACTTTGAAAGTGGGTCATGGCCATGTAATTGGATGAAACAGCATACTGTACCCCAGGACAAATATACAGCTCATGGATCTGTTGAAGCTATTTCAACTTACCAAAAGATTTCACCTTGTGACAAATATCATGTAGTTTGTAAACAAAAATATCAAACTTTTTTTTGTGTGGAAATTTAGGTATATTCACAAATAAATTTCTGTGCACAATGAGGAAAAATTTCCAATTTCAAACATGTTAAATAATGTCACACTTCACAACAAGGCTGTGTGCCATTTTTGATTGATTACTCAGAGCAATATATTAATCTGGTAAGATATGCCTACAAGAAGAGGCCCAGAGGACCTGTATTGCTCATCTGGATATTCAAGCAATTATGGCAAAATATTTTTGTTACAAGAAGTATTGCAAATAAGACCACATGATAGGGTTAGTCAGTGGATATCAAATTAAAATTTGTTCAAAATAAATAAATAAATATACATGTTTCATCTTCTAATTTCAACCTTTCATAACCTCTAAGAAGATTCAAGTCAAGATTAATATCCATGTTTTATTAGCAGGTGAGCAGGGATATAGAGGAGGGAAATGAGGTCATTATTTTCATTGATTGACATCATGTGGAATTCCCTTTTTTCTCCACTTTCATTAGCGATGTCGTAAGGACCCTTTTGTCAGATCTTGACTCATATATTGTTATAGGAAGGGAGCCTCAACTGTTTCCAATTTGTGACCCAGAAAATTGCCTAAGGATGTGGCCAGATCCCAAGTGTTACCTCCAATATTATGACTGTGATTATATGGTTATTGGGTGGGGGTTTTAACTGTTTCAAAGTTATGATCCAGGGATTAAGTCTCAAGGGGTGGGCAACACCCAAGGGGTAAATCCTTGTAGAAAATGTATATTCGTCTCTTTATATTCAGCAATTGTATATAGTGTTACAGTGTGCATTGGTATCTCAACTGTTTCCAAGTTGTGACCAAGAAACTTAATCCCTAAGGGTGTGGCCAGAACCCACAGTCAATTCTAATATCAAAATTGTGGTCCTATCTCCTATTTGAAATCCAAATTACCTCTATTTGGCCCCACCCTTCAGACTTGAATGGTAAATTCCACCATTTGTACAATTTTCAATCCGCACAACCTAGGGATGCTTCCGGTTAAATTATATTGAATTCCAATCAGCAGTTCAGAAGAAGATGTAAATGTCAACCTAATAATTGTAGAGGACTAAAACAACGTCGCCTAATTACCCGTTTTTGGCCCTGCCTCTCAGCCCAACCATTGGTACAATTTTAAATCCCAATCTCCTGGAAAAGTTTAAGTTGAAATCCAAATTACCTCTATTTGGCCCCACCCCTCAGTCTTGAATGGTAAATCCCACCATTTGTACAATTTTCAATCTGCACAACCTAGGGATGCCTACGGTCAAATTTCATTGAATTCCAATCAGTAGTTCAGAAGAAGATGTTGGAAGGAATTATTAATGGGTAGACGACGGACGATGTCACCTTGAATATCTGTCGCAGTGTGAAAGACATGTTTTATAAGTTATTTGAATCCAACATCTCACTTGCAAAAATGTGTTTTTGATTTAAACATATTTTATTTGCAAAAATACAAAAGGGATTAGACACAAGTTATAAAACTTATTTTTTTTTATAAATACAGGTATTTGTTCCTTTGCCTCATAGATCTATTGAAGTATTACTTATTAAATGTTTTTTTTCTAACAGATTTGATCTGCAGCTTTAACGTGAATGCGTTCTCATGATAAATTATACGTGTTATCACAGTAAGTCATACAAGTGTTGTCATGATCAGTCTCAATGAAACGTTTCCACAATTCTCACCTTTTATACAAACTATAGTAACATTTAAAAAATGTCAATAAAATTTACGCAACAAACAATGGAGCTATATTTAAGGCACATGTTTCTGATGAAATAACTATGTAGTATTGACATACAAGATATAGTTTTCTTACATTGTAGCTAACACAGGTGATGGGTGTCAATGTTACGAACATAAGTTCTCATTTAAAAAAAGACAGTACATTTTTATCACAATTTAACATAAACATTGATATGTCTATAAAATATGCTAACAGTTTCCTATGCTCATTTGAAAGTCAATTGTGTAGAAGTAAGGGGCCAAACAAAATGTAGTGTTAATGATGAACATCTATTGCACATATGTCATACAATAGTACAGATACTGTTTCCTGTACACAAGCATGCACATACATATATATGCATGCAACACACACAATGAACATTTTACTAGCACCGTATTTTTTAAAGAAAGAACTGTAATATATAATTGGAAATCAGAGCATGGCATTCTGAAACTTACATTTTCAGGTCTTTGTTGCAAAAAGTAGGTGGCAATTTCTATGACAGGAAAAAATATTAAGCAATATGATAATTAGTCTGAGTTTTAAACATGAGCTTTACCATAATAGATCGTACCAGCTTTCAAGTTGATGTATGTGCAATCTAAACAATGGAACAACTTCAATCACTGAAGTTAGTAATGCATTATCTGCTTTTGACAGTCCAATTAAAGCAAATAGCAGGTAATTTATAAAACCTTAGTATATATGTACACAAAGTCTTAAGGAAAGGTGATGGGAACAATGATAGAGTCAGTTTGGCAGTACATTTTGTCTTGGCACTGTACAAATAACACTGCCTATAGTGGCATGTCTTAGTAAACTTTAGTAGGAACCCTAAGGTAAGGATTGTAGTGGCATCAACTCCAATGTCCACTTTACCCTCAGAAATGAACCTTTGACCCGAGTCGGTACCAGCAATAATCCTCAGGGATCTGTCCAGTGTACTCTAACTACGTCACAATTTAGTTCACATTTAACCTTGAGACAGCACCAGTGTGAATCCTCAGGGATCTGTCCAGTGTACTCTAACTACGTCACAATCTAGTTAACATTTAACCTTGAGACAGCACCAGTGTGAATCCTCAGGGATCTGTCCAGTGTACTCTAACTACGTCACAATTTAGTTCACATTTAACCTTGAGACAGCACCAGTGTGAATCCTCCGGGTTCTGTTTAAAATACTCTCACACATCAAGTCTCGGATAGTACCAATAAGAAATTCACAAATTAACACTTAGCCTGAGACAACACTGGTATGACAGATCTGTGAGTATGTCCATTGTATGTCAACATATCAGCATTTTGCCTGAGTTGGTACCGGTATAAAGTAGTATGTGATCAGGAGTATGACATACAGAATGACCAGTGTAAACCCTGAAAGAAAGAGACTAGGGGTCAATCACAGGTCAAATATTCACACAAGATCAATCATGGGACAAATATAGAAAAATCTCCACCCTCATAGGTCAAATATATTAAACTTTATTGCATTTGCATTCGAACAATATAAAGTTAAACTGGGTCAAATCATAGGTCAAACAGAGACATAGGTCAAACCAAATAACACAGGTCAAACATAGAAATATAAACAAATGGGGTCAATCATAGGTCAGATATTGTGACAAGAGTCCAAAATACATGTACACTTGTGTCAGTAGATATGGCAGACCAAGGAATTTCTGAAAGGATGTTAAGCCAATACAATAAATATCACCGGAGGAAACTACACAGTTTTCCAGACTCCAGCTTTATCTAAAATCAAATCATACCCCTAACACAAATTGTGAGGTGGCTTACCCTGGAAGTAGTCACTCTTGCCATCCTGGAATGTGTAGTTGATGACAATGACGGAGAAAACCACAGCCCATAGATGGATATCATTGAACAGGACAAGGAACCCGAACGGCTGTCAAACAAAATCAGAAACAGTTAATGTACAGGACAAGGAACCCGAACGGCTGTCAAACAAAATCAGTAACAGTAAGTGAACAGGACAAGGAACCCGAACGGCTGTCAAACAAAATTAGTAACAGTTAGTGTACAGGACAAGGAACCCGAACGGCTGTCAAACAAAATCAGAAACAGTTAGTGTACAGGACAAGGAACCCGAACGACTGTCAAACAAAATCAGTAATAATTATTGAACAGGAGAAGGAACCTGAATGGCTGTCAAACAAAATCAGTAACAGTAAGTGTACGGGACAAGGAACCCGAATGGCTGTCAAACAAAATCAGTAATAATTATTGAACGGGAGAAGGAACCTGAACGGCTGTCAAACAAAATCAGTAACAGTAAGTGAACAGGACAAGGAACCCGAACGGCTGTCAAACAAGATCAGAAACAGTTAATGTACAGGACAAGGAACCCGAACGGCTGTCAAACAAGATCAGAAACAGTTAATGTACAGGACAAGGAACCCGAACGGCTGTCAACCAAAATCAGTAACAGTAAGTGTACAGGACAAGGAACCCGAACGGCTGTCAAACAAAATCAGAAACAGTTAATGAACAGGACAAGGAACCCGAACGGCTGTCAAACAAAATTAGTAACAGGTAGTGTACAGGACAAGGAACCCGAACGACTGTCAAACAAAATCAGTAACAGTAAGTGTACAGGACAAGGAACCCGAACAGCTGTCAAACAAAATCAGTAACAGTAAGTGTACAGGACAAGGAACATGAAAGGCTGAAAAACAAAATCAGTAACAGTTAATGTACAGGACAAGGAACCCGAACGGCTGTCAAACAAAATCAATAACAGTAAGTGTACAGGACAAGTAACCCGAATGGCTGTCAAACAAAATCAATAACAGTAAGTGTACAGGACAAGGAACCCGAATGGCTGTAAAACAAAATCAATAACAGTAAGTGTACAGGACAAGGAACCCAAACGACTGTCAAACAAAATCAGTAACAGTAAGTGTACAGGACAAGGAACCCGAACAGCTGTCAAACAAAATCAGTAACAGTAAGTGTACAGGACAAGGAACCCGAACGGCTGTCAAACAAAATCAGAAACAGTTAATGAACAGGACAAGGAACCCGAACGGCTGTCAAACAAAATCAGAAACAGTTAATGAACAGGACAAGGAACCCGAACGGCTGTCAAACAAAATCAGAAACAGTTAATGTACAGGACAAGGAACCCGAACGGCTGTCAACCAAAATCAGTAACAGTAAGTGTACAGGACAAGGAACCCAAACGGCTGTCAAACAAAATCAGTAACAGTAAGTGTAAAGGACAAGGAACCCGAATGGCTGTCAAACAAAATCAATAACAGTAAATGTACAGGACAAGGAACCCAAACGGCTGTCAAACAAAATCAGTAACAGTTAGTGTACAGGACAAGGAACCCGAATGGCTGTCAAACAAAATCAGTAACAGTAAGTGTACAGGACAAGGAACTCGAATGGCTGTCAAACAAAATCAATAACAGTAAGTGTACAGGACAAGGAACTCGAATGGCTGTCAAACAAAATCAATAACAGTAAGTGTACAGGACAAGGAACCCAAACGGCTGTCAAACAAAATCAGTAACAGTAAGTGTACAGGACAAGGAACATGAAAGGCTGTCAAACAAAATCAGTAACAGTAAATGTACAGGACAAGGAACCCGAATGGCTGTCAAACAAAATCAGTAACAGTTAGTGTACAGGACAAGGAACCCGAATGGCTGTCAAACAAAATCAGTAACAGTAAGTGTACAGGACAAGGAACCCGAATGGCTGTCAAACAAAATCAGTAACAGTAAGTGTACAGGACAAGGAACCCGAATGGCTGTCAAACAAAATCAGTAACAGTAAGTGTACAGGACAAGGAACCCGAACAGCTGTCAAACAAAATCAGTAACAGTAAGTGTACAGGACAAGGAACATGAAAGGCTGTCAAACAAAATCAGTAACAGTTAATGTACAGGACAAGGAACCCGAATGGCTGTCAAACAAAATCAGTAACAGTTAATGTACAGGACAAGGAGCCCGAACGGCTGTCAAACGAAATCAGTAATAATTATTGAACCGAACAAGGAACCCGAATGGCTGTCAAACAAAATCAGTAATAATTATTGAACAGGAGAAGGAACCTGAACGGCTGTGAAACAAAATCAGTAACAGTGAATGTACAGGACAAGGAACCCGAACAGCTGTCAAACAAAATCAGAAATAATTATTGAACAAGAGAAGGAACCTGAACGGCTGTGAAACAAAATCAGTAATGATTATTGAACAGGAGAAGGAACCTGAACGGCTGTCAAACAAAATCAGAAATAATTATTGAACAAGAGAAGGAACCTGAACGGCTGTGAAACAAAATCAGTAATAATTATTGAACAAGACAAGGAACCCTAATGGCTGTCAAACAAAATCGGTAATAATTAAATTGAACAGAACAAGGAACCCGAATGGCTGTCAAACAAAATCAGTAATGATTATTGAACAGGAGAAGGAAACTGAACGGCTGTCAAACAAAATCAGTAACAGTAAGTGAACAGGACAAGGAACCCAAACGGCTGTCAAACAAAATCATTAACAGTAAGTGAGCAGGACAAGGAACCCGAACGGCTGTCAAAAAAAATCAGTAACACTAAGTGAACAGGACAAGGAAACCGAACGGCTGTCAAACAAAACCACTAATAATTATTGAACAGGAGAAGGAACCTGAATGGCTGTCAAAAAAAATCAGTAACAGTAAGTGAACAGGACAAGGAACCCGAACGGCTGTCAAACAAAATTAGTAACAGTTAGTGTACAGGACAAGGAACCCGAACGACTGTCAAACAAAATCAGTAATAATTATTGAACAGGAGAAGGAACCTGAACGGCTGTCAAACAAAATCAGTAACAGTTAGTGTACAGGACAAGGAACCTGAACGGCTGTCAAACAAAATCAGTAACAGTAAGTGTACAGGACAAGGAACCTGAATGGCTGTCAAACAAAATCAGTAACAGTTAGTGTACAGGACACAGAACTGTAACAGTTGTCAACCAACAGTATGACTATACAACCAACAGTATGACTATACAACCAACAGTATGACTATACAACCAACAGTATGACTATACAGCCAACAGTATGACTATGCAACCAACAGTATGACTATACAACCAACAGTATGACTACACAGCCAACAGTATGACTATACAACCAACAGTATGACTATACAGCCAACAGTATGACTATACAACCAACAGTATGACTATACAACCAACAGTATGACTATACAACCAACAGTATGACTATACAACCAACAGTATGACTATACAACCAACAGTATGACTATACAACCAACAGTATGACTATACAACCAACAGTATGACTATACAACCAACAGTATGACTATACAACCAACAGTATGACTATACAACCAACAGTATGACTATACAACCAACAGTATGACTATACAACCAACAGTATGACTATACAACCAACAGTATGACTATACAACCAACAGTATGACTATACAACCAACAGTATGACTATACAACCAACAGTATGACTATACAACCAACAGTATGACTATACAACCAACAGTATGACTATACAACCAACAGTATGACTATACAACCAACAGTATGACTATACAACCAACAGTATGACTATACAACCAACAGTATGACTATACAACCAACAGTATGACTATACAACCAACAGTATGACTATACAACCAACAGTATGACTATACAACCAACAGTATGACTATACAACCAACAGTATGACTATACAACCAACAGTATGACTATACAACCAACAGTATGACTATACAACCAACAGTATGACTATACAACCAACAGTATGACTATACAACCAACAGTATGACTATACAACCAACAGTATGACTATACAACCAACAGTATGACTATACAACCAACAGTATGACTATACAACCAACAGTATGACTATACAACCAACAGTATGACTATACAACCAACAGTATGACTATACAACCAACAGTATGACTATACAACCAACAGTATGACTATACAACCAACAGTATGACTATACAACCAACAGTATGACTATACAACCAACAGTATGACTATACAACCAACAGTATGACTATACAACCAACAGTATGACTATACAACCAACAGTATGACTATACAACCAACAGTATGACTATACAACCAACAGTATGACTATACAACCAACAGTATGACTATACAACCAACAGTATGACTATACAACCAACAGTATGACTATACAACCAACAGTATGACTATACAACCAACAGTATGACTATACAACCAACAGTATGACTATACAACCAACAGTATGACTATACAACCAACAGTATGACTATACAACCAACAGTATGACTATACAACCAACAGTATGACTATACAACCAACAGTATGACTATACAACCAACAGTATGACTATACAACCAACAGTATGACTATACAACCAACAGTATGACTATACAACCAACAGTATGACTATACAACCAACAGTATGACTATACAACCAACAGTATGACTATACAACCAACAGTATGACTATACAACCAACAGTATGACTATACAACCAACAGTATGACTATACAACCAACAGTATGACTATACAACCAACAGTATGACTATACAACCAACAGTATGACTATACAACCAACAGTATGACTATACAACCAACAGTATGACTATACAACCAACAGTATGACTATACAACCAACAGTATGACTATACAACCAACAGTATGACTATACAACCAACAGTATGACTATACAACCAACAGTATGACTATACAACCAACAGTATGACTATACAACCAACAGTATGACTATACAACCAACAGTATGACTATACAACCAACAGTATGACTATACAACCAACAGTATGACTATACAACCAACAGTATGACTATACAACCAACAGTATGACTATACAACCAACAGTATGACTATACAACCAACAGTATGACTATACAACCAACAGTATGACTATACAACCAACAGTATGACTATACAACCAACAGTATGACTATACAACCAACAGTATGACTATACAACCAACAGTATGACTATACAACCAACAGTATGACTATACAACCAACAGTATGACTATACAACCAACAGTATGACTATACAACCAACAGTATGACTATACAACCAACAGTATGACTATACAACCAACAGTATGACTATACAACCAACAGTATGACTATACAACCAACAGTATGACTATACAACCAACAGTATGACTATACAACCAACAGTATGACTATACAACCAACAGTATGACTATACAACCAACAGTATGACTATACAACCAACAGTATGACTATACAACCAACAGTATGACTATACAACCAACAGTATGACTATACAACCAACAGTATGACTATACAACCAACAGTATGACTATACAACCAACAGTATGACTATACAACCAACAGTATGACTATACAACCAACAGTATGACTATACAACCAACAGTATGACTATACAACCAACAGTATGACTATACAACCAACAGTATGACTATACAACCAACAGTATGACTATACAACCAACAGTATGACTATACAACCAACAGTATGACTATACAACCAACAGTATGACTATACAACCAACAGTATGACTATACAACCAACAGTATGACTATACAACCAACAGTATGACTATACAACCAACAGTATGACTATACAACCAACAGTATGACTATACAACCAACAGTATGACTATACAACCAACAGTATGACTATACAACCAACAGTATGACTATACAACCAACAGTATGACTATACAACCAACAGTATGACTATACAACCAACAGTATGACTATACAACCAACAGTATGACTATACAACCAACAGTATGACTATACAACCAACAGTATGACTATACAACCAACAGTATGACTATACAACCAACAGTATGACTATACAACCAACAGTATGACTATACAACCAACAGTATGACTATACAACCAACAGTATGACTATACAACCAACAGTATGACTATACAACCAACAGTATGACTATACAACCAACAGTATGACTATACAACCAACAGTATGACTATACAACCAACAGTATGACTATACAACCAACAGTATGACTATACAACCAACAGTATGACTATACAACCAACAGTATGACTATACAACCAACAGTATGACTATACAACCAACAGTATGACTATACAACCAACAGTATGACTATACAACCAACAGTATGACTATACAACCAACAGTATGACTATACAACCAACAGTATGACTATACAACCAACAGTATGACTATACAGCCAACAGTATGACTATTCAGCCAACAGTATGACTATACAACCAACAGTATGACTATACTTACATGTATGATGTTGATAAGGACGAGGATGGGCACCTGTATCATACACACTTGGATAGCAGTACTGGTCCCGATCTCTATCCTGTATAACAAACATATTTATTACAGGATTACCTTATTTACCTTATGTTCCATGGCGTCCAATTGTAGATCTCAATCTCAACAGAATTTATTTTTTAAAGGATTGAATATAGTTTGGGCCTTTTTTGGTCCCCAAATTCCATCAAATTAAAAATCTTCAATAGCACTTTCAAATGACGTTTCTTAAATTTTGAATACTTTCCCGGTACTATTATGGAAATATTTATTTGTGTTTTCAATTATGGCTGCCATGGTAACCAGTTGATATTTGCAGAAATTAATGAAATTTGAATATTCAATTTTGACAGGTTTTCGCCTATGTTTTCTCTTAGCTACCATTAAAGCGCACTCTTGAACAAAATTTGTATTTCTTCTAAAGATGTATTACATGTGCCTACACATTGTCCGTTGGTATTAAGTTTGTTTAAGCATGCAGTCTAAAGTTTTCAGGAGAAAAACTATGCGAAATTTGACAATATTCACTGAATATTCTAATTTTTCAAATTTATTTAAATTTAAACTTGTTACCATGGCAACAATAATTAGAAATACAAATAAACATTTTCATGATAGCATTTGAGAATCATTCAAAATGAAAGAAACAGTCGTTCAAAAGTTCATATTAAAGTTTTTGAATAATGATGCATTTGGGGGCCAAAACACGCCCCAACCATATACAGTCCTTTCTCTCCTTTTACTGCTTAGTTAAAAACAAATCAGTTGCTCTTCTCAACAAGAGGTCCAATAGGCCTGCATCGCTCACCTGGTATTTATCTCACAATTGTAACCTTAAAAGAGGGCTAAAATAAAGCTACAGGCAAAATATCAGCGTCTTGACTTAAAGTTAAATGTGATTCAGAAAAAATGGGCAAAGGTCAATCATTTGAACAAACTTGGTAGCCCTTCATCCTAGCATGTTACTGGCCAAATATCATCACCCTAGGCCTCTTGGTTATTCAGAAGAAGTCGTTTAAAGGTTTAAATATATTTGACCCCAGTGACCTTGAATATAAATCAAGGTCATTTATTTGAACAAACTTGGTAGCCTTTCATCCCAGCATGTTACTGGCCAAATATCATCACCCTAGGCCTCTTGGTTATTCAGAAGTCGTTTAAAGGTTTTAAAGATATTTGATCCCAGTGACCTTGAATATTATTAAAGGTCATTCATTTGAACAAACTTGCAAGCCCTTCATCTCTGCATATTACTTGCCAAATATCATTATCCTAGGCATCTTAGTTATTCATTCGGGCCACGTGAGCTAAAAATAGCTTGGATCCCCACCAGCTTGTTTGTATGTCAATTCTACAACACCTCACTCTCAAGAGAACTTCTTCATTCATTGAAACTAGTACATACAGATATTAAATGTACTCCTTCGATATGCACAATATTAAATGCATCTAAAATATATAGTTACAAATTTTATCCTTACCCTAAATTAACATTGTTAAGTAATGCAAACTGGATACCGTTGACAATTTCAGGCAGTTCTGGAACCATGGCAAACATTGTCATTCCCAAGAAGAACTGAAACAGAAACATAGAGGACTTATTTCTTAAAGAATAAGGTAAAACTGAATTTCTTTCAGACACATTAACAAATAATGAATACCCCTGACACCCTTAAGTAAGTAATCTATATATGTATACATTTATTGCCCTGGTTGTAGGGAAACAGAATTCTTTGTTTTCCTAGATTAAATCATGTTTCACTCACACTTCAACCTCACGAAACATTAATAAAGGGAAACAAAGAATTGTGTTTCCCTAACCACAAGGGAGATAGTAACATTATAATAGCCAAATACAGTCATAACACTGATGTGAAGATGACCAGAAGGGCACTGATACAGGCAATATGAAGATATATATATATTCCAATAAAGATAAGGTGCAATTATACAAGGTACATACCATACCTCTGACACCCTTCAGTAAGTTACACAATTAAGATACATACCTCTTCCACACCTGAGTAAGTGACACAAGGTACATACCTCTGACACACCTGAGTGAGTGACACAAGGTGCATACCTCTGACACACCTGAGTAAGTGACACAAGGTGCATACCTCTGACACACCTGAGTAAGTGACACAAGGTGCATACCTCTGACACACCTGAGTAAGTGACACAAGGT